AAAGGGCAGCACTCTACTCTCTGCTCCAGCTCTGCTTCACTCTCACCTAATTTGATTGCTATTTCCTGTCCTAATCTGTTTTATACCCCACCTCCGATAGACTGTAAGCTTGTTTGAGCAGGGTCCTCTTCAACCTATCATTCCTGTAAGTTTTCTTGTAATTATCCTATTTATAGTTAAATCCCCCCTCTCATAATATTGTAAAGCGCTACGGAATCTGTATAAATGTATAAAAAATGTATGGTAAAAAATGTTGTGTGATAATAATTCACAACCTATTTAGTCAGCTTAGAGTTTACAAACTAGAACATTTCAGACAACAAAGGCAATTAACTTACAGCAGCTGATAACCTGCCAAGACTATGAACAGCTTAACACTCACTTTCAATAAAAAAAAAAAACCAAAAAACTAACTTAAAGGTAAAGATTGCATGTATTATGGTCTATATATATATTTATATATATATATATATTTTTTTTTTGTAATAGATATACATTCGTAAATAACCATTTTAGTGCACCTCATGGCTTACCCTTACTCCATGTGGGCGGCCATCTTAATTATTATTTGGTCAAAATCTACAGCTAATCAAATGTACACACAAATCCTGAGCATGTAACAGGTATCCCAAAAATGTATTCTGGGATAGATTACGACCTTCAAATTTATCATGGTCTTGCCAAAAAGTCTACAGATAACTGTCCTGCTTATGCCAGGAGATTCAATGAAAAACTGGTTATTGACTTTTATGTATTCATTATAAATAATACACCACCATGCTATATTACATGCAATCTTTTATTGTCAGTAATTACAAAAATGACATGTTTCCTTTAAATAGATTTTAAAATAAATTGGCACGTCTGAGCATACACTAATATGCAAATTCTTAATAATTAATTTATTAACCTTGTGTTTTACATTGGGCCAGGGTCCAGCACATCTTCTACTGTTCTGTTCTACATCCCATTACTTTCAGTCATCTGACAGAATTACGCGAACTATAGCACAAGAACAGTGTTATGGCCACAGTATATCATGGTGGACACCCACGTTTACATAGGTGAAGAATTACTCATACAGATATATATATATATACTGCAATTTTTTAGTGCAACAACAGATTTATAGCATATTTTTATATACATGTAAGATTCAAACTATACAGGCTAGAAAAATATCTTAGTACAAAAGTGGACTTCAAGGGAAGTGGTTTTAGAAACACACAGTTTGTGAAGATAATATTTGTTATAACATAAATATAAGGAAGGAGTATAATTTATTGAGGAAACCAAAATTTAATTTTGGTGAACCGTTTGTTATGAATGTGTAACTGGCAGTGTCAGAATATTTATACTAAGTGGGCAGAAGAGTATATACATTGAGATATACACATACCCGCCTGCATAAATACCGTTGCACACAGGAAACAGAAAGCGAAATCTCAAAACAGTAAAACATCCACCACATTAGCTTCATTTCAGGATCCATACAATAGCTCTGGTGCTTTTCCTGTTGCAAATTAGTTACAATTAGTAAATCAACCCTATTATATAAAACTCATTGTCAGGGCTTTTGTTTACCATTGTCATATGGGCAAACAAGGAACTAATATCTATAACTTGCATCCTCTCAGTCAACATTTATTTGTACCTTCAAAAAGTGCGTAACTCCACATTCCTATTTCTATTGAGGTAGAAAGTGAGGTTTCTATAGAGGGTACTGTGCTTAAAATTGGTGGGCAGAGCTTAGAAGTGGGTGGAACCACACTAATGCCTCCTGCTAAGCTGAAATAAGGGGTTGTAAGGTAAGACAATATTTAGAAGTCAAACACTCCCTCTTGATACTGCAAATATTCACATGCTATATGAGACCATAACTATAAAAATGTGCTAGCTTTTTTAAGAGTTCTTTGTTTAACCATGGTAAATCAGGAGCCAATCTAGGCTTGTGAAATAAAAACTGCCTGCCTATTGCCCACCTTGGATATGCCTATGGTAGGGGCAGTGTAAATATAACTAGAAAAGCTACAATTTCTGGGGAAATTGTGTGAAGTGTTCTTGCCTCCACCAGTAGTCTACAACTGGAGTGGGGGGCAGAGTAACTGTTATTATTTATTTATATAGCACATTTAATTGCAACGTTGTTGCCCAGAGTGCTTCACAGTTACATTAAACCATACATTTATAAAAACATTGGCAGGTGTACAAAAGGCCCTGTCTATGACATCCCTTGCTGCTGCAGCCTGGCACAGGTCAGAGTATTTTGGCGGTTGCCATCTTCAAACGGTCGTATTTTAAAAACTATACCTCCTACAGCGAAGAGCTTTATATTGTGAGAATCACAAGACCCAGACCTACATTTTGAAGCATTGCATGTCTCTGAAGTATTAAACATGAAGGTACAGTCGGAGTTGAGAAATTGCCTTTCAAATTTAAGCTGGCTGGAGTGGAGTTTCAATGAATGTCAATGGACGGCGTGAGTTGCAAACAAATGGTCATATCGTGAAAACTATCAGGACTATGGCTTAGCTGAACATTTTGATATAAGATTTGTGTATGTGTATGTGGGCTTGAAAATGAGGGAGTGGTGGCAGTTTAGAAATCATGTCCTGATTTTTCAGCTTTTGCCAGCTCCCACTCTAGTTTTGAACATTACGCCATTCATTCCTATGGGACCAATTTCGCCACAAGAACAACGATATTCCGTGAACCAATCAGCAAAATGTTCCACAAAGTAATAGCAATCCAATCTGGAACAATCCGCAATCCGTTACCCTACTAATATAAAAAGTTCAGCATAATCGATAAGTTATTGTGCCAACTTCATTGGGAATTTTGCTATGAATCATCTTGTTATAACGTATGATGCATTTGAATGTACTTCCCTGCACTCCAAAAATAAAGAATTACACCAAAAAAAAAAAAAACACTGTTTCAGAACAGTTTTACCCATGATGTAAGAGTTTTTGATGATAAGTTAGATTAAGTTGTGTTGATGCCTGGAGTGTCCCTTTAAGTATTAAAGCAGTATCAATGCACTTGCTGCATTCATTCCATGGGCATCCGCAGGGGAGGGGGGCAAGAGGGGGCACTTGTCCCCCCCCCCTCCCCCAACCTGGATTTTTCAGCTTGTGCTGCTATTTTTGGTTTGTGTGAGAATGGAGAAAGGCAGGAAGCTACAGCTTATCCCTCGTGATTGAAACCGCATGGGAGCAGCACAGAGGCAGCCTACAGATCATGTAAGTGAGGGATGGAGGGCGCGGGAGACAGCATAGAGGAAGGTAAAGTAGAATGAGCAGAAAGGTTCTGCAAGGGCCAGAGGGGTCAGCAAGGAATAGAAAGGGGCAGCAAGAAACAGGAAGGGTTAGGAAAGGTTTGCAAGGAGCAGGAGGGTAAAGTAGAAGGAGCAGAAATTAGCAGGAAGGGGCAGCAAGGAGCAGGAGAGGTCAGCAAGGAGTAGGAAGGGGCAGTAGGAAGGGGTAGGGACGGTCTGCAAGGAGCAGGAGGGGTCACCAAGGAGTAGGAAGGGTCAGCAATGAGCAAGAGGGGTCAGCAAGGAGTAGGAAGGGTCTGCAAGGAGCAAGAGGGGTCAGCAAGGAGTAGGAAGAGGCAGCAAGAAGCAGGAACGGTCTGCAAGGAGCAGGAAGGGGCAGCAAGGAGCAGGAAGGGGCAGAAGTGAGCAGGAGGGGTCAGCAAGGAGTAGAAAGGGTCTGCAAGGGGAAGAAGGGGTCAGCAAGAAGTAGGAAGGGTCTGCAAGGAGCAGAAATGGATAAGAAAGAGAAAGGAGAAGAAGGGCGCAAAATAAGCAGAAAGTAGCAGAAAGGTAAAGGAGTAGAAGGAGCCTCAGAAGAAAAAGAAGATTGTGTAAAGTGAAGGAGAAGAAAATGAGATTGGAGCACTTCATTCTGGACACCACATCATAAGGCGTTGGTACCTGGGCCTGGCAGGGAAACTTTGGATCTTCTCATCGTCCCAGGTTAAAAAAATATCAGTGTTAATGTGTTCACTTTTATTTACTGAGTGTCAGAAAACACAGAGGGCCGCTGGGTAGGGGTGCCGATGATTGGCTAGAGGGTCAGCTGACACTCTAAGCCAATCAGTAGCTCCCCATTCATAAAAACGTAAAACATTTTTATGAATCTGGAACTAGCGATTGGCTTAGAGCGTCAGCTGACCACTCTAGCCAATCATCAGCACCCATGCCTGACGTCAATCTGCACTTCCTGACACCCTGTTTAAGAAGCTGAATACCACTGAGCGACCTGGAGCACTGGAGCTGGAGGAAGCCTTTGGGGGCAAACCATTTGAGAGTGGTTTCACCCCTTAAAGGAAAGAGAGTGCCCAGGGGCCTCCTTGCATCATAGCATTTTCATTCAGATGAAGTTGTTATGGTGACCAGAGTGTTCCTTTAATTTGATTAAAGGAACACTATAGTGTCAGGAATACAAACATGTATTCCTGACACCATAGTTGTGAAAACGCTATTCACCCTAGCTTTATGTGAAAATGACTATGCTCCTTCCCTTTCATGACACTGTCAAAAAGGGGCCAAGCATAGATGTCATTACAATTATGATAACTATGGTTACTGGCAAAATGTTGCAGAAAAATAAAATCTTCTAAAAAGGCTCAAAACCTGCTTGGTGTTCGTCCTTGCCTGTGATTCTGCTAAAAAGTGAAATCATACATTCCCCATTATTTCTCACTCTACATGTGAGTCTTTTATACTGAAATGATTTAAAGTATTATCGAAGTATGTTTCCTTTTTTGGACTTTCCTTCCCTCCTGCACTTTGCAGAATCCCTTTATGAATGTGATTCTTTCAATCTTATCTGCCTGTCATCTTTTCTCTAAGCTCTAAAAAAGGAAGTTAGAAATTTTGACATTAACCCTTGCTTTGTGATTAAAACTGTATGTATCGTAAAATAATGTTTAATGCTATTCTACTCTATTCAAAGCATTAGACTGGACCAGACATCATCAGGAGTGGATAAGGGAAGCTGAGAGGAGATTGTCTCTGTACTGGATTACAGGTAAGTTTTTAATATTTTTTGCAGCTTTTTATTTTAGGTTCCCTACATCTAAGCTAAAAAAAAATAAAATAAAAAATAAACTACTCCAACTTAAAAATAGACATATTTATTTCAAACTTTAGAGTATTCCTTTAAGTAACAGCTGAATTAACTATTTTTTGTAGAATTAGACCTCTTTCTGGCAATTCACTCTACAATTGTTATGAGACTTCTACTGTGTCCTTTTCTACCTTTTAAATTGTATCATCCTAATAAAGTCAGTGGTCGAATTCCTCTTGCCAAAACACTTTACTGCCTTGCATAAGTATTTATCCACCTTTGAAGTCCTACATTTATTAGTGTTACAACATAGGCTTTCTTCTCTATCATCACTTATGTGTGGGGTGTATGGGACTGATGAATTGAGTGGGGATCTCAGGAACATACAAAGGTACAAAGGAAGGTGCAAGCTGAACTCTTCTTAATGTTCTTCAGCTGCTCCTCCCTTTACTATATGAGCTTTCGAAAATACGTTTATAAAAACAGATGAGATGAGAGAAACTGCTTCATAATGTAAGTGAACCATCCATTCCACTAGTATTCCATGTGCAGGTGGTGACAGGAAAATAAAAATTAATAAAGGGATGGCAATTTAAAGGGACACTATGGTCAACAGAACAACTATAGATACAATGCAGTTGTTCTGGTGTGTACAGTATGTCCCTGCAGGCATTTTAATTTAAACATTGCCTTTTCAGGGTTTACATTGCAGCCTAGGAACACCATCAGTGGCAGTCACTCAGACGGCCAATAGAGGTGCTTCTTGGGTCAGTCCTGCACATTGTGGAGATGCTGATTGGTGCAACGCGGCATTTTGTTGCGCATTCGCCTCCCGATACTTTCCATGGAAATGGGGTAGGGGCAGGGGCAGAGCCATCGCCTTTTTGGAGGGGGGCAACTGGGGCTGAACACCTAAATGGTGTTTTAACACTATAGGGCCAGGAAGACAAGTTTGTGGTCCCGATCTTATAGTGTTCCTTTAACCCCTTAAAGACCAAACTTCTGGAATAAAAGGGAATCATGACATGTCACACATGTCATGTGTCCTTAAGGGGTTAATCTATTAACACTCATTAACATAGGGGGAGGTTATATCTGAAATCTTTGCACTATGTAGTCACCCGTATGTAATTCACCTGCGGGATGTCAACGTAACAACTTTAGACTATGTATGTAACAAAATATTGTCCTACATAAAACCATCCACCTCACATGTGGTCAAACACCATTATGTCAAACCCTTTAATCTCACACTAGGTTAACAGGGTATTCTGAGGAAATGGCATGTGATTTCTGTCCCTTTACCATTCCCACTGGTTGGAGCAGAAGAAGAGTATTGTGATTATTGCACTCTATAACCTGAATTGTGTAAATAAAAACAGAATGCAAAAGAAGAAATCAGAATGGTTTGAACTTTGGTAATGTTCCGTTCAGGTGACAGATATCGGCTACTATTACAATCTATGCATACATTGGTCCACGAAATAATGCAGTCTTTGCATGCTCTAGCAACTGATGTTTTACAGCACACACAGGAATATATTGTCATAGAAACACATGATAGTCCTCTGCCAAGATCCAGCTAAGAAACCACTAGCAGATTTGTTGTTATGGTACAGTGCATTATCAGTTCCACCAATAGTAAAGAGATTAACATTAAATAAATTACAACCTCAAATCTCATCTCTGTTTAGTAAGGCAGCTATTAGTAGAAAAGCACAAAGGTCAAGGATAGTCATGGGAAAAGAAAATCCTTTTTTTTTTTATCCCTGGCTCTTTATAAATGTTTGCTCTGAATCTCTGAACTCCGTATATTTCTTTACTGTAAACGCAACACAAATGGTGCGTACGGACAAAAATATTTCTGCACATCTGCAGTACTTGACATTTATGCAGCTTTTTGGCAGACGTTTCAAAATTACTTTTTTTTTTTTTTTTTTTTTTAATACTCACTTAATAGGAGTGTCCGAAAACATTTCCAACACTGAGCCAGATACTTGAATCAGTGTCAGACACAGATCTGGGATAACTAAATTCAGAACCAGCAGAACACAACAGAAATTATTATAGAGCTGGTAAGTAGAGCAACACATTATTTTAAATATAATACCTAATGTTTATGGCCCACTTTGAAGTTAGATATGAACTTAAATATTATTTTTGTTGATATTCAGAGATATTGTGACGTAATTACTATAGTTTTTACAATTAATTTCCCTTGTAAATCAGAATGGAAAATAGTTAGCTCACAGGGGATTATTAGATGTTCCTCATAACTTTTTAGAGAAATAATGCAATTATAATGCAATTATAGAAAAGCACATGTTACTTAAGGCTTTTGGAACCTACTTAAAACTGCTTTGTTTTATACATCACATGATAAACAGGCGTTCGTTGACGGAGTGGGGAGAATATAACCTTCCAAATATATTTTGCATTTTAAACCTCACCATCAGAATGGAGTATTTTAGATACTTTAGGTGTTTTCTGAGTTAAGATGAAATGTTGCTTCATTCCTCAGAATATTGCTTAATATGCAGCTATGAGAGTAATTTTAGACTAATGGAGAATTAGGGTTTAATGGTTTAAGGCTTAAAGGAAAAAGGCATACAAGGTGTTTAAGATTTGTGGACTAAGGGGCGTAGGAATAGAATTTCTAAGACGCAATGCACCCCCAAACCCTATTTCACTGGATATACTGCTGGTCACAGAAGCACTGACATTGTTGTAATGTCATTCACTAATAGAAAGAGCTATATGTTGAATGCAGAAACATTATATAATTGCTAAAATGACAAAAAAGCCTTTGTATAATCAACATGTTAAAATTTGTTCCTACTAGAACTTTAAAAATCTATGCAGGTCTTGCTTTAAACTAAAAGTTATTTAAAACTGTTGAAAGCAGGGCGAGACTGGAATAGCAATTTGTCTGGGGCATTTAAAGACAGAGTGTCAGGGGACCCTGCATCATTCTGGCATAAGGATCACTCCACTCCAAGCAGCTTTTATACCGGTGGTGATGCAGTCATTCCATCATATCAGCAACAGTGTCAAATTACATTTTGGCATCGCTTTGATGACGCAACACGCTAGGTCTATTTATCCTCAGTCCGTCAGGAGACCTGTGCCCTGTTCTGGTCTCTAGTTTTGTTTATTGTGGTTTTCTACTTCTGTTTGTTGAGTAGTATAGAAATAGGAATTCTCCAATCCTGACCTTGTCAATTATCCACTCTCTTGCTATTTTGATCTCCCTTGACTTTTCTTTTGACCATTCTACCTCTGTTGTACACATTAAGCCCAGCCACCTCTAAGAACCGGTAATACATTACTATTTCTCTGTGCTCACCTAGGATTGCATGTTGGAAAATTGCATATTACTGACTCAGAGCAACCAATGGGAGGGTGAGGTTAAAGAGTTCTATGATCATTATCGTTATTAGCATTTACATAGTACCGACACATTCCGTAGCGCTTTACGATTATAGCATGGGGATGTTTGGCAAGTATTTGACATACAATTAACAGTGACAGAGACAAGGAATCATGAAGTCTCTATTGAAACGCGTTTATATTCATCCCCAATAACAAGCATTCACCTCCTGCCAGGGCTGGACTGGCCCACCGGTACTGGGAAATATTCCAGCCCCGGTCTCATTAAGCTGCGCGCTGGGGAGCAGAGACACAACAGCTAGCTCAAGTAAGCTCAAGTAACAAGTATGTACGTCAGTCTGTCAGTGGGAGTGTATGTGTGTGTGTCTGCATCATGGTGTGTGTGTCTGTGTCATGGTGTGTGTGTCTGTCTGTGTCATCGTGTGTGTGTGTGTCTGTGTCATGGTGTGTGAGTGTGTGTCTGTGTCTCGGTATGTGTGTGTCTGTGTCATGTAATGTGTGTGTCTGTGTCCCGGTATGTGTGTGTCTGTGTCACGGTGTGTTTGTATCATGGTGTGTGTGCGTCGGTCTATGTCATGGTGGGTGTGTGTGTCTGTCATGGTGTGTGTCTGTCTGTGTCATGGTGTGTGTGTCTGTCTGTGTCATCTATTGTGTGTCTGTGTCACGGTGTGTGTGTGTGTGTGTCTGTGTCACGGTGTGTCTGCATCATGGTGTGTGTCTGTCTGTCTGTGTCATGGTGGGTGTGCCTGTCTGTTTCTTGGTCTGTGTCATGGTGTGTCTGTCATGGTATGTGTGTGTCTGTCATGGTATGTGTGTGTCTGTCATGGTATATGTATGTGTCATAGGGTGTGTGTGTGTCTGTCATGGTGTATGCGTGTGTTTTTAAAAATAGTGTTTTTACTCACCTTTTTTTTTTCCAGTGTCTTACTGGTCTCCCCTCGACAGGCCCTGCCTTTATGTCTGAGATCATCAAGCTTGATGATCTCAGCCAATCCGCACTGACACAGGAAGCACCTCTAGTGACTGTCTGAGTCACTAGGAAGCAATGTAAGCACTGCCTTTTTTCTGAAAAGTCAGTGTTTACATTGAAAAGCCTGCAGGGACAGGATATAGACACCAGAACCACTACATTAAGCTGTGTTTGTGTGTTTGTGTGTGTGTGTGTGTGTGTGTGTGTGCGCGTGCCTGCTACTGAGTGAGCTTGCTTGCATGTGTGTGTGTGTGTGTGTGTGTGTGTGTGTGTCTGCCTGCTAGTGAGTGAGCTTGTGTTTTTATGTCAATGAGCTTATGTATATCAGTGAGATTGTTTGTCTATGAGGCTGTGTATCAATGAGCTTGTGTGTGTCAGTGAGATTGTCTGTACTGTATAATTAAACGTTTTACTCTGAAAGGACCAATATTTTATATTAGAAAAAGCAATATATATATATATATATATATATATATATATAACTCAATCATCTGGGTGGCAAGACATAGCCTGACATATTACATGCAACAATATATGGCGCAATGACTTTTGGGGCTGGCATAGATTTTTTTTCCAGGGCTGCTTTGTATCCCCAGTCCGGCCCTGCTTCCTGCAGAGCCCATTCTCAGAACCGTTCTGAAATGCTGTTGCATGGGTTAATGTTTATTTAGCACAGCACAAGCACATTTAGGGAGTTGCTTGCTCTGCATTTTTTTTATGGTATCCCTAGAGGGAATGTGATAAGGGTTACTGTTGGTGTTGTATGTGCGAGGAGGCTGCTTATGGTGCTGCAAGTGTGGGATGAGACTACTTGTGGGTTTGATTGTGTGTGGAGGGGTTGTAGTGTGTATAGGTGGGGGCTGTTTTGAGTGTATGTACCTGTATGTGTTAAGTGGACTGTTTGTGGTGTGTGTATGTAAGTGTATGTTTGTAGTATGTGAGTGTAAATAGGAGATGTTTGCGTTGTGTGTTTCTGTGTGTGGAGAGGGCTATTTGTTACAGAAACATAGAAACATAGAATGTGACGGCAGATAAGAACCATTCGGCCCATCTAGTCTGCCCAATTTTCTAAATACTTATATTAGTCCCTAGCCTTATCTTATAGTTAGGATAGCCTTATGCCTATCCCACGCATGCTTAAACTCCTTTACTGTGTTAACCTCTACCACTTCAGATGGAAGGCTATTCCATGCATCTACTACCCTCTCAGTAAAGTAATACTTCCTGATATTATTTTTAAACCTTTGTCCCTCTAATTTAAGACTATGTCCTCTTGTTGTGGTAGTTTTTCTTCTTTTAAATATAGTCTCCTCCTTTACTGTGTTGATTCCCTTTATATATTTAAATGTTTCTATCATATCCGCCCTGTCTCGTCTTTCCTCCAAGCTATACATGTTAAGATCCTTTAACCTTTCCTGGTAAATTTTATCCCGCAATCCATGAACCAGTTTAGTGTGCAGTAAATAACAATGTTCCTATTACTAGTCAGGTAATATGCAAATATGACTGATACTGTACAGTCCATCACTCTGCAGAGACTTAAGGTATTTCAATGTAGATCCTAGCTGCTAGAAGGCTATATCGTCACAGTAAAACATTCAAAATAAACAATTTACCGATGACCTAAGAAGACCAGGTTGAGTGTAAATAAATGAATAAAATCTGTTTGTTATGTTAATCTAGTTTCAATTATTGGTTTAACTTGCATAAAAAGCAAATATAAAAAAGCTTACAGTATAAGCATTAGGATAAAGTTCATTATATTTAACTGTTCTGTACTTTCCCCTTTACATAATTAATAATCTGGTAGAGATAGATAAGTATCGCTATGACAGTCTGTTTAAAAGAAAATTCTTCAAGTCCCTGCGAATTTTTCCTGATATAACATAAATATATATTGTAAACATTCAGGTTTGCATGAAACATTCTATAAACATGAATGCTGTATTAAAAAGATCCGTCTCCAAGATTTTAATTCAGCAGTCTGAATGTTCTGGTACCATGGCTTTATAAAATGACTAACAAGATTTTAATTCAGGGATCCCCAACTTTCTTTTCATAATTTAGAACAACATTATCAAGTTGGAAAGACCCATTCAAATATTTTCTATCTTGGCTAAAAATATTTAAACTGGCTTCCAACCCACCAAAACGTACTGTTTATTAAATACTACACTCTGGAATAGATTTACATAAAGGTGAAAACATTTTTTTTATTGTGACGACCTAGGATATAGAACCCTATGAATTCTACCCAGAGTTTTTAATTCTTACTCCAATCTAAGAGTCACACAGTCTGTAACTATATCCTTCATATTTTAATTGATTCACAATATTTGATCCTCTCCAAATATGTGTTTCATACAAGTTATACCTAGAGTAAAAAAACCTAGGATGAACACAGTATACTCACTTAGCGATATTTAGGGAGATGACAATTGCCACAACTGATGAGTTATTTGATTACACAATTCCACAGGGTACATAGCAAGAGATCATGCATTTTTATTATGATAATACCAATTTCTTTGCTGAATGATAATTATATTATTTTATCTCTATGTTTCTCTCTATGTCCAACAATGTGACCAAGGTATAATAAAAATACAACACTTACTGAAAAGCCCCTCTTAACTTTCCTATTGTTCCAGTGCTGTTAAAAGTGAAGAATACAATGAACATTCTGTCTGCCACACTCCCACTCTCTTACTGTACAAGAAGTACAAGAACATCTATGGTTTAATATACATTGCCTGCATTCCTGCAGAGCAGGAAGCAGAAGAGGGAGAGGGCTCTAGAATACTACAGTGTTTATGTGCATGCTAAAATAGCAGCAGAGTGTTCTATAATGTATAGATGACTTTAACATGTAAACGGGAAACTGTACTTCCCAAAGCACAATTATGTTTCTTATAATTACCCATACATGGGGATTGTATACATTTTATTCATACATAAGAATTTTTTAACATACTAATCTCACACCCTCTTTGATAGATTGCAAAGCAAGGGATCCTGTATAAGCTCTGAAATGGTATCTATCTACTTTTTCAGTAAGGGCCCAGCAAACAAATGACACTTTAAAAATTGCATAAAACGCAATTGCATTTTCAGGTATCTCTGAACAGCTATCTACACAAAAAGTCTCATGTCCCGTGAATGTGTTAAATAGTCTTTGTAAATTTCAAAGAAATGCTAGATTGTGTATTTTACAATCACGGACCCAAAGAGTTAAATAATAAATCTCCAACAGAATTACATGTTGTATGTTTATTAAGTCACCAGACGGTTTTATAATGTAATGCAATGCAATAATGACATGTTATAACAAAACCCTGTGACTGGCAACGTGGGGAGCACAGGACTGCACAAGAATTGAATTCCTAGAATACAGAACTTGGGAAATAGAAGCCTACTCTTACAGGCAGTGTGTAAATGTTATTAAAAAAGATGTTCTATTTTCAGTAAATCAACACATATGGTGACAAATAGGTTGTGTCATATCAGTGTGTTAATTCTGTGATAAGTACACATTAACAATAATGTATCAGTAATTTGGTTGATGAAAGGTAATCATGTACTGTGGTCAGTAAATCTACACAGATGTTTAAAAAATCTGGATGTGGGTGGTGTGAGAAGTGAATAAGTTATTATATGTAAAGTGCATTAAGCAGAATAATAACATAAACCAAAGTTCAAATATATGAAGTATTTAAATCTCATTTTAGAGTAGCATCATGCGTTTGCCTTTAATCACTTAAAGGGACACTAAAGTCACCAGAACAACCACAGCTTAATGTAGTTGTTCTGGTGAGTATAATCATTGCCTTCAGGCATTTTAATGCAAACACTGCCTATTCAGAGAAAAGGCAGTATTTACATTGCCCCCTAAGGACACCTCCAAGTGGCCACTCCTTATATGGCCACTGGAGATGCTTCCTGGGGCAGTGCTGCACAGTAGGCAGCACTGCCGTTCAGCGTCTCCACGCTCCTGATGGGGACATTGAATTTTCCTCATACATATGCAATGAGTCAATGCATCTCTATGAGGAGGTGCTGATTGGCTAAAATGGTGTTTGGCCCCACCCCGTCCCACCCCCATAGGGAAAGCATTAGATTGGCTAAAAATCTGCAATTCTGATGATGTCACCAAGGATAAAGCATATAAAGTATAAAGAATAAAAGCATCAATTACTTTCTTACCAGACTTCTGAGTGCACTCTTGTTTATAAACATATATAAACATTTTAAGTGTATTTTGTTATAAATACTAAATATCAAAACACATCATTTTAAGATTTACTTTATTTAATTCTATGTGTATGTAAAATCACATGGAATTAAAAAAAAATTTAAATTATAAAAATGTAGTTTGATATTATATTGTCATATCAAAATACACTGAATTTTTAAAAAATATATATATTTATTATTATTTTTAAATTTTAAGTGTATTTTTCTTTTATATATATATATATATATATATATATATATATATATATATATATATATATATATATCAAAATATAATATCAGAATACACTTGGAATGAAATTATTTCTATGTGTATATTTAGGATTATGATTTTACATAATTATGTAATTGTATTAATTACATATTGGGGGACCTGTCTGACCACACAGGCAGAAAGTCCAGATAATTTAATTTGCAAGCCCTATATTTAACCCTGTATCTTTCCAAAACCCACAAAACCTGTACATGGGCATAGTGTTGTACTCGTGAGACATCACTAAACACAAAGATGCGCATTTTATTGCAGGTAACAGTATTACGACATTCACAGTTAAAATGCCCTGCAGAATTTGGAAAATAAAATGTATTAATTTCTCACACTTTTCTTTTTAGATTTTATCCATTTTAAATTAATTTCATATATAAATATTTGATGTAAATTCAAGCCCTATTTCTCCTAAACAAAATCATATATAATAAGTGTAAGTGCACTTAATATGAAAGAGGTGAATTATGGCTGAACAGACATATAGCTCAAAATCTAGGTTTTGTTCTGGTTCAGAACTTGTACAATTGCCTCCATCCTTATAAACTGACATTAAATAAATGAGAAGTGAAAATTACGTGTCCTTTTTAACATTTTATGAAACTTAATGATATATTTTTAAATTATGTACATAGATTTTTGGCAATAATTTTACTTTTTTTTTTAATCTGGCTTAGCAACCATGTTGAGTCAGACTCTACTGTCATCTAGCCAACTGCTGCTCAACCTAACTTGCCTGCTGCTGTGGTTGCGCAGTACGAAACTACACCAGCAGGCAAATTAGTGTAAGCAGTAGTTGGTCAGACAAGAGCAGAGTCTGATCCAACATGGCTGCTGAGTTAGATAAAAAGGTGAAAATGTATCAAATAAATCAATATACATCATTAAAAAATGTATAACTAAATTTAATTTATTGTAAAAAACTTTTGAAAAAATGAGAAGTATAAATTTGAGGACATTTATCATTTAAAGGAACACTGTAGGCACTAATGGACTCCAGCCACTATAACCACTTCAATTTGTTGAGTCGTTATGGTACCTGAAGTGTTTCTTTAAAGTTTTGGCATGTGCATCATATCCTGGCTGATTTAACATTGCCCCTTAAGGCATAATTTCAGTGGCCTACTGACCATATAAAATATTTAAAGGTCAATTGATCCCCTCCTAACCTTACTTTACATTAGCTACATTCCTCTGCTAGAAAGCATATCCATTGACCCCAAGATGTGACATTTCCTGTATACCACTAAGCCAGGATGGAAAGCTGCTAAAAATGAATGTTCTCCCACGCTTTCTCTTTTTCTTCCAAATGCTTCTTGGCACGCTCCCTCCTCCTTTTTTAAGCAGCTAACCAGAAGCATTATCAAATATATTTGGCTCAGCTCCAACTCGCATTTGAGGATCTTGATCCACATGATTCACAAGAATTGTGGAAAAGCCAATCTTACTCATATTTTATTTACATTATTATGCAGCTCTCTTACAGTCATTGACAGGAATCATTATCTGACTACTAAATGGTGGCGATAAATACACCAGGAACATACGCTCTAATCATTCTAGATCACCCCATTCATGAAACCACCAATATCCCATATATGCAATCTTATCTCACTTGGAATTTTAAAAGATACCTCATTTAAGGGGAAGTGTATTACCCCATGACTAATTTCATACATAACCCTGCTTTCCCTCAAAGTATGGTTTTCATCTGCTCCACATTACACCCTAGGGCAAAAGGGAAAAGGTTCCACTTCAGACTTACACTCAAAGATCTATAATCTTAAATCCATAGTTGCATATATTGCTATATAATTAGCCCACAAATTATAATTTAAATTAATTAACCGAAGGCAAACTAAAGATATAGTCAACATGTACACACACAGACTGAAGAACAATGTACTTTTATCATAACATACCACCATGCCATTATAATTTTACATTTTAAAATTAATCATACACATAATAACCAACAAACGCACATTCGTAGCTCATATAAATATGCCCTTCCATCAGAAAACCAAATAACTACTAGTCTCAGATAGTCTTTACTACAGAGTGGTCAATACAGATAGCTCTTATAGATATGGTAAAAGTTCATTATCCCTGTTGTTTTAGATAAGAACAGGATTTAAAGAAAAACCTAGACACTATCACACATTTTAAAAGGTACTCAACAGATATCATGACTAAGATAACTCAAAGACATAGCTTGTGGCAGTTGAAAAAGACACTCTTATTCCAACATAAAAATATCAAGCACAATTTTGCTGAAGGATACTTGAGTGCATCTGCATTACCAATAATTAAGCACTTTCTTGGAATTCTACCCTCTAATTCTGATTCTCAGGCTCCTGGCTTTCCTTAGATTAAATTATCAAGTGAACATATAAAATATGACCTGGATGAGTAAGGGTAGACCATTATTGTAGTGTGTAAATGTACAAATACAGCTTTCCGTAGTGAAGTCCATGCAAACTGGATAGAATTAGGATTAAGAACTATAAAATAGTTCTATTCCAGAAACATCAATTTGCCGTGGAACTAGCAATCCTTAGGATATAAAATATGCCATCAAAAACATATTTTAAAAAATGCATGTTTGGATTTAGTATGCAGGAGAATTAACCAACTAAATGTAGTAACTGAGTCTCATCAACTAGCAGGTATAGTTGTTATCCCATTATATAGGATAGAATAATAATCATAATAATAAAAATCTGTTTGCAGTACTAGAAATCTGATAATGCAATTTGCTAACTGCTAGGCTGCTAGAATACAACTATGTTGTAAAGTGATCTATGATGCCACGTTTCAAATATACGTGTGGAAAATTTAACAAATCTATACAGATGAATAAATACAAATTCTAGTGAGTAACTATTACTATTCCTAACATTGATTAAATGTTTCCTTTTTATTTTTAATATATGTTTTCTCTTTTCAACTTTGATGTATTTCTGCATTCCTTTATCCCTGCAGTTGTGCTGGAAACTATTACACTGAATCAAAAAAAACGCTCAACGCCAACTATTTATTGTAGATGGATGAAAGAATAGATGCTTGAAAGGAAACATTCAGATTCATCTGCGATCAACCTGTGGGCTGTGGACACGTTTCTAGTGCTAGCAACCCAATATTAACAAACCTTGAAAATTAAGTCAGTGGAATACACCTATATATTAAAGAGATTTTTTGGTGAAGCTTTTTTAATGAGAAATGGATCATTGCCACAATACAATCAGAAGGATAAGCATTGATTTGGTACTGGACAAGACACAAGTCTCATCTTGAAAAAAAGCTTTAATAAACTCCTTTATAGACTCATCCACAAGACTTCATAGCTTCAGTGTAAGTATATGATTGCAAAAAGTCTGTCATTTATTAGAAGTGAGAAAAGTATTCCAGAAAGAAACCAAAAAAAAAAAAAATCAGTAAAATGAATAACTCAACAGAAATGACAAAGGAGGAGTGCGTCCTTAACCAAGTGGTACTGACACGAGTCCTGCCAAGTCTATACACCATTATTTTCTTTGTTGGCATTTGTCTCAATGGGTTGAATTTATGGATTTTTTGCTACATCCCCAGTGACAGGAGCTTCATTGTTTACCTGAAGAACATTGTCGTGGCTGACCTCATAATGACCATTACATTCCCAGTGAAGATATTGAGTGACGCGAAAATAGGTCATGAGATGTTGTACATAGTAGTCTGCCGTTTTTCTCAAGTGGTTTTTTATTTGAACATGTACATCGGTATTTTGTTTTTGGCCATTCTCGGCTTTGATAGGTACTACAAGATTGTAATGCCAATGCAATCATCTTCTTTCCAGACAGTCAGCTTTAGCAAATTCATCTCAGCTGGTATATGGATAACAATGGCTATTATTACAGTTCCTAATATGATTCTAACGAACAAGCCTTCTTCTGGAACTGGCAAAACAAACTGTGCCCAGCTAAAAAGTCCACTTGGTGTACAATGGCACAAGGCATCAAATTATATTTGTATAGCTATATTTGTGTTTGTGTTTTGTTTACTCGTTGTGTTTTATCTCTCTATTTCAAGAAAGATTTATAAATCCCATCAAAGATTGAGAAGAAATTCAGATGCAAGGAGAGCATCCAAGAGAAACATATACAGCATTCTGTTTGTTTTCTTTGTGTGCTTTGTCCCCTATCATGTTTGTCGAATTCCATACACCTTAAGTCAGACTGGCTCTAATTACAGCTGTCAAGTCCGCAACACCTTGTTCTATATCAAAGAAATTACATTGCTGATGTCAGCATCTAATGTCTGCCTGGACCCTGTCATTTATTTCTTTATGTGCCAACCATTTCGAAAAAGGCTCTTTGAAAAATTACATATTAACAACAGCATCCAAGAGACTGAAAGAACAGTAAGAATTTCCTCCACTCGGATATTATAAGCTGTTATTGCAATATTGAGCACTTTTGGACCTTTTAGGTGAAACTGCCCATAAAGTATTATACAGATGTGTCTTGGTTTAAAATGGACATATGTATATATTTTTCTAATATGCACAGAATTTGACCTCACAGCCTTCCTTCTAGTTGCAAACTTGGTCTTCTGAAACAAATGCAAACTATTCATAAAATATGACTGTATAATGGATTTGTTTTATGCATTATTGTCAGTGATTGTATAAAAGAATTGGAGTATTTTAGCAGAAGTGAACTGATAAACAATATCCCAAGCAATTTACAGTAGGGGTAGGAAGCATCTCCAATGCTTTAAGGCCAGCACAGGAAAAATAACCCACAACATCTGGACATGTAGAAGTAGCCTATTCCTGCTTTAAAGGGTCACTCTATGCACCATACACAATAAATTAATGTAGTGGTTACGTTGCTCTTAGACTGCAGGCATCATCTCTCTATTCTTGATCAAAGCGTTTTGAGCAGTTTGACCAAGAACCAGAGAAAGTTACCCAGAGCCCAAAATAGCAAGCTCAGCCAACTAATGCCATCCAAATATTGGTGAAATTTAGCTTTACAACATTTAGTTGTAGCAATCTGAGAAATGAATTGCAATGTTTTGAGAATTTATCCAGATCAGGTGTTGATATCTACATTTTGCAATTTAGTTTTCAGTTTACTACATTTCTGCATGTAGTGAATGAACCCTCACTATGTTTCCAATTCAACTAATCTGGCCTAAAACTTTTATTTCCTGGGCCATTTCCCAACAATTCACAGTGCTTAGGCTTGATAAACACTGATTTGGTTGCAGGATAGAAATGTTTGAAAAAACACTTTGGGGTTTATTTACAAAACACTGACAGGCTTCTTCAGTAACGCAAGAACTGTCAGTAAATCATCTTTCAAATTTAGCACCAAAATAGCCTTAATAGAAAATTCTCAAGCTCGACTTTGCTTTTAATTTCACTATAGTGGCCTAAAATTTGAAATTCAGTTTGAATTTCCAACAAGTCTTCCTTTTGTGAATAGCCCTGCAAATTATAGTGAATTGAAATCGGTATTGCTGAACTGGAGAATTTTCAAAATCAGTTACTGTTGACTAAATGTTGCAATCCAGATTTCAAGCCATTGCAATTTGTTTTGTAGTAAATAAAATAATTTTCCATTTTCATTATTTTCACTATTACATAACTATCTCCCAAAGGGTTGTAGCAAAATTTTACCTCTGCTTGAAGCTACGAGCAGAGCTACATAACTGTGTATTTATCTAGCCCTTACTACATGCAGATAGGTTTTATAAATTATCCTCCATGGGAAGAATTCAAACTTAGTTTAAAGGTAAAATTAATTAAGATCTATACAAAAGCTACAAAGTAACCAACAGTATTGAGAACTTTCTGCAGAAATCAAGGAAGTAATTGAAAGTATCTCCCAATGCATGAACATTGGTTGATAACATGATTAATTTTATACATTCCCCAGACAACTTTCAGGGTTATTCACTAATAATCTGTAAACTGTCCAGAACTGATAAGGGAACGGTCATTGTAGGTCAATGGCTCTGGCTCTATAGGGTCCTTGGGTCCACCTCACCTTCTGGGCCCCCTCCCGCATGGCTCTAGGGGGAGGAAGGGGTTAAAGGCTTACCTTTCTACAGCGCCGAGCTCCCTCGGCGCTGGGGACTCTCCTCCTTCTCCTTTTCCCATAATCGGCTGAATGCGCATGAAGCGCCTCTAGCGGCTGTCAATGAGACAGCCAATAGAGGCTGGATTAACCCATTTGTAAACATAGCAGTGGTTTACAGCAGAAAGGGTTAATCCTAGATGGACCTGGCACCCAGACCACTTTATTAAGCTGAAGTGGTCTGGGTGCCTATAGTGGTCCTTTAAATGTGTAATTAGATGGCCTTTTCTTAGCAATTCTCAGTTCAGTTAATAACCTTCAAAGCAAAGAAATAAATCTGGAAATGTAAAGAGTTTATTCACTAGACAATGAAATGTAAGAAATTGTAAACTGAACTCTCTAGCTGGAAATTCTCTACATTGACCAAAGCCTGGCATTATATGATGGTACTCATTGGCTGACAGAACTCAGCCGACTCTCTCGGCCAGTGAATTGGCACTACAAGAAATTACGGCTCCAGAACAGGAATGATTGGTGTCCAGCAAACCCCAGATAAGCTGTCAAGATATTCTCAAATGAATGGTTTGACAATATACTGGCACCAAAATCCACTAAAGCAGGCTCTTCACTACCAAAATTTAGCAGTATGAGATTTAGTCCATAAAGTGCCCCATTCACTTCAATTTATACCCTCAAAATACTGCTAGTCTGTAGAGGGACTCATTTATTTGCTAGAAACCACTAGCCACTGATAGAATGCCTGAAAATGTAAGCTTACCCCTTGATTCCAAATAGTTCAAGAAGTTTCAGTTGGTCATATAATTCCTACAGCCAGGGAGGAATGAATATCCTTTACCATTTCACTGTCAGCATTACATTTGCATCCCAGAAATTGATAAACATTGCTAAAACAGTTTTAAACTTCTTTATTTTAGAAACATTTGATTTTACTGTACTGTATGTTGGAATTATGCATAAATGCAGACATTAATTTTACATTCTGCTGCCATTTTTAGTAAGTTTAACTAGTAGTAATGTCTACAGGTATTTGACCAATTTTATTTATTTTTGTCCACCTACTGAATGTGAGAAAATTGAATTTTTTATACTAACATTTCAGACTCTGTGTGAAATATTATCAGATAAAAAGACACTGCTGTATACCGTCTAAAGCTTTTCATTTCCCAAATATTTTATAAAGGATGAACAAGTGAAAAATACATACTGTGTAAATTGACATCATTTTAATTGTTAGGTTTGTCTGCAAAGAAATCTATACACAATAATGCCGTGTTATCTGTTTGTATGCTAGCTATACATCCCTTTCTGCAAATAAATGTTATGCTAATATTTTTTTTTTAATAAAAAAAAATGTTTGGTAGTGAGGGGGTTAGGTGGAAAATTCATATTTGTGCAAAAAATATATATTTCTTCAGCTTGGCCCTTTTAGCTGAAATTTTGTAATTCTAATTTTTACTGCAACATGGAGCTTAGTGATTAACTATGTGAATGTCACTTTTCCACACACCATTAACACTTTACAAGTCAGAAAGACAAATGATATATTACACTGAACAGAGATGGTTAATCTTCAAGTTAAGACTTGGTAGATTTGAAGTACTAAGACATTTTTCAACCATTAAATATTTGTCTAATAAGAGGAAAAGATCCAGAAGGTGACTTAGTCAACACAGCTGTGGATCAGCACAGACCTTGTTTATCCTTTCATTGTAGTTTTTATTTTTTTTTGTACACCCTAAAACAAAAATAATTGCCAGTCATGGATTTATGCGTTTCAATGCCGAGAGACATTCAGTAATCAGCGACAGCTATGTAAACATGCATTCTAAAACCTGTCAATTCAGTACCTGGATAAAGGATCACAATTAAAATCAATGAAGCACGTTACACGTTCAACAAAAAAAATGATGGCACATACAAATGCATGTATTTATCAGGTCACACATTGGTTCCCAAGGCTGCAGTTTACAGATGGATATTTGCTTTGGATTCAATCATAACATCCATTCATAGGTAATGTCAGTTATTTACCTTTAAAGTTTCTGCCCTAGGTTTTAGCCATTAAGTTAGATATAACACATTGGGATTGACTGACCATGTAATGTCAAGTAGACTTTCCATTTACAGCAAGCGATTGAATTCACAGGATATTTGGTTGAAAACTTCGTAGCCAAAAAGTGTAGCAATTATTGCCTGGGAGGTTATGATCTTTTCATGTTTGTGGACACTACAAGAAAAATACTTTTCCTGCAGCATGTAAAATTAATATATTGCAGGAAAAAATATTTAATATGATGGACCCCAAAAAGTAACTATTGTACTTTGATTACCTAATGTACTTGTATTTTTTGCTTGAAAATGTAAATTAAACAGATTACAGGGTAGTACTTTTCATGTAGAGCTCATCTGTACGAATAGGTGACAAATGTCCAGGTAAACACGGTGAATGAGGATATAATGAAAAGGTACTTCAATTTAAATTTTAAAGTCATATGTAAAATTGTTGCACAACTAATAGTTAGAAAAACTAAAAAAGGGCATACCCTATAGATTTAGTTACAGGTAACAAACTAAAAATGTCATATTGTGCAAATTAATTTAAACTTTAAGGTGCCATGTGTACGTATGGTTCTACAGATGGAATATCTGAGTGTGCGTGTTTTATTAGTGCATTATGTAGCATGTTGCCAAATATCAGAAAACATATATTTTTTGTAAATAAATATATATTTGTGTTGTTTCTACTTATTATATTTTTCCTTAGCTGTACTTTTAATTTTGGAATGTACAATATATTTATAAAAGAAAATCTTGTATAATTGTACATATTACTAGTAGTAAAGTAGTAAATGTTTAAATTGTAAACCAAATTCAGTTTTTATATGTAAATCAATAAAGGAATTAACATAGTATTTTCCTCAAGTATGACATGTGCATGTTGGTGGGTTTTATGCCATTGGAGGGGACTTTATTAATATTGAGCACAATTTATCTGATACAATTCTCATCATTTTGAATCTACAAGAAGTGAGTGGTCCTCTGTTTCTTACCAACTAATATAGTACTATATCTGAGGATTAAGATTAAGCAGATTCTGTAATGATATGGTTAGGGAGTATATTCTTCAGAAAATAGTAATTAGTTGGGGTTTTTTTTCACGATAACATTATTTTAAATGGATCTGGATAAAAACAAACGAGAAATAAACACAAAGTTTCCATTAATCTATATGCTGTGCCAAGAAATAGATGTATACGGTTCAGTGGTTTCTAAGACACATTAACCCTATACTGTCATTGAGTTGGTCAACTATTAGAGCATTGTTCCAGCTTTCTGTTAAGGATCAGTTAAGAAATATATCTTTCCCTCTAGCATACACTATAGAAACTACGGTGTTCCAAGTGTTTTGTTTTACCTATATACTGAAATCAGACAGACTGTAGTCCCTCAGCACTGGGTCGCGCTGTTCCTCTGCCGTCAGCTGATGGGGGAAACTTAATGTGTATGCATTAAGCCTTTTCCATAGGAAAGGATGGACTTAATTTCCTATAGGGTTTTGCTTGATAATAGATGTCCTCATGCAAAGCGTTAGGACGTCCAGCGTCATTTCACAGAGTCAAACTTAGACAGGCATAAGTTTGCATAAACCAGGCAGACAGCGCCTCTAGTGGCTGCCTGGTTTGTGCGAATACAAGGTATGGAACCCCTGCTGCCACTTGGAAAAATAAAATAAATGATCACTAGGCAATAAAAGAAGTCATGTAATATCAGAGCTCAAGCTTTTATGTTGATAATTAGAATAATATCATATTTTAGAATAATTTAGTGTACAGGAATAGAGTAACTCATTATACAAAACAGTTTCCTGCATACTGGTTAATTTGCAATATGTTGCAGCCCTTTTAGTCCCATACATAGCTGCCTGGTGGCCACAGAGTGCCTTTGGAGGAGCAGCGAGAAAGCATAGATTACCACTGACAGCTAAAAAAGGTCTGTAACATACATCTGTGTGGCTAAACTTCCTCTCACATATGAAGAGAAGCAAGAGAACATGTTGGGTTCTGTTATTCTTGATACAATTATATTATCTCATGATTTTAGGGCTTTTAATTCCATTAACGGCGGCTGGCGTTAACCAACTGTCACCGCTTTCCACAATGTGTTTTACTTTATTAATTAGCTATTTCCATAAATATTGACTGTTCTTTACGTTCGAGAAATTCACACAATATTCGACTCATTAACCTGCAGTGCCTTGTACAAGATCAAACTATATATATATAGATATAGTAGAAAGGACCGCACTCTCCAAGGTCTCTGTGATGGTTTTCAAATAAAATTGAACTTTTATTTAATCCATATAAAAGTCAACGTTTCAGAAATGTCCTGATGAAAGCTCCATGTGGGGGCTGAAACGTTGACTTTTATATGGATTAAATAAAAGTTAAATTTTATTTGAAAACCATCACAAAGACCTTGGAGTGCGGTCCTTTCTACTATATCTACATGATTTTGCCAGACCTGCACCGGGCATTAAGAATTTAACCAGGAGTGCAAGCCCTTGTTACATACATACATACATATATATATATATATATATATATATAATACATACATACATACATACACACACATAATGTTTCCTGCAGAAAGACCCTGTCATCCAGTCATTTTATGTTATGTGACCACTTCGATCCCAATGGAAATCTCCCAGTGGTTCCCAGGGCAGTTTTTGTGAGAATAATTTTTGCCTATACTTTACAATTCATTTTTTTTCCTGACCTATCGTGATCTATTTTATACATATTGTATAGCACATAAACAGAGGAAGCCCTGCTTTGAAGCCCTTGTGCAGGCTTTCATTTTATGAAATTTAAAAGACAGCTGTTAACTATTTTGCAAAGACAGGAAGGAATGAAACGACAAATAGAGACAAATATATTTAGGAAAGAACATCATGACCACGTGTTAGTTTGCTACTGCAACAATATCAGATGAGCTTTATGTAGGGAACTTTAAACCAGCTTTAGTTTTAGAAAATATATAAAAAGTCAACTGAAAAATACATACAGATGGAGGACGTGAACATGTTCAAGGTTATAATAAAACATTATTCCTAATATCTTCATACTTGTATTGCACATATATGGTATTACAACCTCTTAAAAGGAATGTATTTAAATCGCTCAATATCTGTCTCAGGCTACAGAAGACCGTTTGCTTTAAAATTATGTTTTTTGCTTTAATACTTCCATATACTCCATTTTCTTTGGAACAATCGTGTAAATAATGTAAAAAATAACAAACATGATTTGGGAACCGTACACTCTACAAGGTGCAAAAAACGAAAGGAGGAATCATTGGTAAAATGCGTTGGTAAGGTTTGAGACCAGTCTGGTCATTTGTTATTCTTTTTATTAGAAAAGCGACAGTGCATAGTTTAAAAAAAAAAAAATATCTGTGGTTTTGACCTAATATACGTAAGTGTATACAAGGTAGAATGGTATAGACATAGTCCTAAGTAGTCGGAGAAGCTTTAATGAGGATTACATGTAGTGATGAGAAGAGAAGAAAGATAAACAAAGAGGAGCAAGGCTTGGTACAGTGACAGCCACAGGAACACAATAGAAAAAGTGATAGGTATTTCTCCCTCTGACTTCTCTCTGATAATGGAGCTTAAATACAAAATAAATTAAATCACTAATTAGTAGATATACCCCAAATGAAAAGACGGACGCATTTATGTTTGCATTTTTTCATTGGGGGTATTTCTAAAAACAAGTTGCAAAACCTGCACTTCTGCTGCCTTGCAAACCCACCCCTTCTAATCCCGCCCAGGTTTCATGTGGCTGTCCAATCACAGACTACAAAATGCAGCTCAATTATATGTCTTTACAAGGCAGGTGCTCTGGACAATTGTTGCCTCATGAGTTTAGTTCCACTGAGCTAACCAAACCAGGAAGTTACAGGACCGATTGCTTGAAAAGCCAGGGTGTGTAACCAGGTTAATTTATGAAAATAAATAAATAAAAAATGTAAATTTCTATTGAAATCTGCACTTTCTGTAAAATGAAAACGAGGACAAACTCTTCACACAAAGATTTTCAGCAAGCAAAAGTACTTTAGGGGACTGGAGTGTCCCTTTAATACTCAACTGGCTTACAGCTAACACAAGCCAACACCTGCTAAGCCCCACAAAGATGAACAATTTATTGCCTACTCTCCCACGACCAGTTTTGATTATGCCAACATGACTACAGTTTATAGACCCAGGAGGCTAAGCCTGAGGGTGAGCAGGTAACAAAAGATGCTAACTATTTGACAGTGTTATTTGTAAATTTTAATTGAATTTCAGATTTTAAACTAAAATACTCGAACTGAAAACACAGCTAAGGTTTTTCGTTAAAAATGTGAAATTTGATTGCAGATTTTAGTGGAAAACCTCCTGTGAGTGCTGATTTGTCTGAAGTCTATGAAAATAAATTTTCTACTGAATAAATGTGTGTTATGAGAATTTTGTCAGAGAATATTTCAAACAGGGCAATTCACTAATGCCTGAATGGACACATATTAAATAAGGCAAAAACATCTGGCTGCGGACGTGGCAATTTGGATTTTAAAATCCGGATATAGTGCATTTCAACAATGTCTGGATTTTGTTATTTAGGCCCCTAACAGACCTGAATTTGGACCCAAATTCAAATATCAGTTCTTTGCATAATGGATGTCTGCTATCACCATCATAGCCAGGGCTGGCCTTAGCATTGTGCGAGCTGTGCGGTTGCACAGGGCGCCAAGAAACAGGAAGCGCTATGCGGCTGACACAGCTTACACATGGTCAGGTGACAGCTGTGCAGGGGGAGCTAAAACAAGTACCCGGGGGGAGGATTTATTCATTATTCTGCACCCGGGTTTATGAAAAAAATAGCAAGGCAGGAAGGGCGCTGTGAAGATTTTTTGCACAGGGCGCTTATGGGCGGCCCTGATCATAGCATGCTTTGTACAGGCATCCAATGGCAGCCCCCCACTAGTGAAAAAACAAAACTACTTCCACTGCACGTCAAAGTAATCAGCATTACCATATATCTGAAATGCACTGTTCACATTTTCATATCTAGCATTATTTTCTAAAGATGTGAAGCCATGACTAACCCACTGTGAATTATTGTATATTCTACTTAGAATCACGGCACATTTAATTAAAATAGGATAATTTAAAGGGAAACTGTCACTTCTTAAATTTTAGTAACACCTAAAAGTTAGCTATTGGTTGTGCTAAAAATTTTGATTAGTTAAAGGACCACTAAAGGTACACGGGCCACTTCATCTCATTTAAGTGGTTTGGGTGCAGTGGCCCTTTAATTTTAATACTGCAATGTAAAACATTGCCATTTAACAGATATGGCAATGTGATGATTTAGGGTTAAAATACCTCTAGTGAAATTCTTCCTGAAAGCCACTAGAGGCTGTGACAAACGAGCTTGGTCTGGTCATTTGCCACAAGCTCCTTGAGGAGCCAGCTTGCCAGCCTCCTGCCCCAGGATTATGGGCCATGCAAAGTACACTGAAAAAAGGCTCTGTTCATGTGATTTGGGACTATGTTGTTCGGAAACCGAACAACTGCATGAACCAGAAACCACACGGGAGCTTGTTAAGCCCAATTGACACCTTGTTACTAGTTCCACCACAGTGTTCTAATTGTTCGTTTGGGTGGCCGCAATTCGTATGAACGACCACGAGGTGGTGGCCATATTGTTAGCATGAACACAGGCAGCAGTGTTTGGTCGTTGATTTCTTGGAACTAAAATCGGACACGGAAACTCCCGAAAACAGCTGAACTTCCATCATCGCCTGCGTTCAGTTCTATACGACTTAGAAGGGCACTGTTCAGTGGAAACGTTTCCACGAACAAGGTGAACAAGCTCCAAGATAGAACTAAAGATTCCATTTGGTAGTTTGTTCATTTTTTTAACTACCGAACTTGACCAACCGTTAGCACTGATTTCATGGAACTGTTTTGGGTATAGGACCATGTGCACGGTCGGTCAAACTTATGACTTCCTTGGAAATCCTAAACCCCTGAACCGATCTGGGTGATTTTTTTGGATATGTTGGTCACCCAGATCGGGGCTATCAGTGGATGTGACTTTTGCGGGATTTTCATGTGTTTTGGGGGTGTTTTGGGGTTTTTGTTATATTGCATGTTTCTGTACTGAGAGATAATTAAATTGCATGTTTGTGTGCTTAGGTAATTATCTCTCAGGCACAGGGGAGGAGTATGTTAGATAACCTGTAGATTGCATGTAACTAGTCTCCTCTCAGGTCAAGGGGGAGGGATTATCTTGTTTTGTGTGGGAGTGTTATGGGCATGTTTGACTGTGTCTAAACTGTATAAAAGCAGCCCATCTGGCCAGATTAAAGCATTCCAGCTCGTACTCCCAGAACTATGTGTTGTCTGGTTACTGGGAGGGGAAAGGGCTAATCACTAATCACTGTTCCAGTGTGGAGGATTCAATGGGGAAAGTCCTTGTAAGGACTAGAGCTCCCAGGACTAAGTGTCATCCAGTGCCTGGGGTGGATAGAGCGAGTTCCCCATTCGGTTCCAGGACCCCAGTCAAGCCACGGCGACTGTGGGCAGAAGTGCTGCGGTTTGTCCCCTGTTCCAGCTAAGAGTCATTTTTTGGTGGATGTACCCAGTCAGGAGTACAGGGAGCTCCGTTATAGAGGCGTTTCCCATGTGGGAAGCAAACGTGACGCAGTTCTCAATCAAATGCTGCTCATAGAGACCATTTAATTGGCTCAGTGAAAAGTATTGCCATGCATGCACACTAGCCTTTCAATACACCCCTTTGAGGAAGCATTGTATTGGCTGAGATCATCAAGAATCATTATCTTAGCCAAGGGGGCAGTGATGGAGGTAAGGTAAGTAAATTACTTTACTTAATTAATTCAGAGGGATCTTATAACCTAACTAGGTACAAGGACAATATAGCGTTTGGAATACATTTTAATAATCCTAACACCATAGTGTTCTTTTAACTTTTGCAGTGCAATATGCAGTAAGAACATATGGTAGTGACAGAGAAAATGCAAAGCGCTCATGCACACATATTGCACATATTGCACTTCCTTATTTGATTAGACCAAGTGTGCATTCTGTAGGCATTATAGGACAGCGAATTTGCCGCAATGTATAAATGTTTTATTTACCTGTACTGCGTTATTCGCCCCAGTAAACACTGGATTAGCACTTAGTGAGATAAGGGTGGGGAATCACTTTTTGGGTAAGTGACAATTGCAGTTTAAAGATAAAAAAGAGCAAAGGTCCAGTTTATTTTAGTTATTTGTTAGAATGTTGTGTTACATCTAAAGTTGAGTTCAAAGAGTTTAACAAGAGTTTGTGCATATACTCTACATGTTTCATAATTATGTTAACTCACGTGGCTTTGTTCTGTAGAATCTGTGACAAGCAGAAATATATGATATTTGTGAGAAACATAGATAAGTGAGGAACTGAATGAGGAGATAGCACTTCACAACCCTGTGCAATACCCAAAGTGGCACAGTAGATGGCGCACAATAAAATAATAATGACATGTTACAAATAGTCACAGATGTTACTTATATTTGTCTCTGAATAGAGTATTGAGAACATAATATAATCTAAATTGGTATTCAGAGTAACACGTGTACACACATACAAGAAAACAAATCAATTTTGTTTAAGAAAAACAATAAACACCAAAACATATTAATTTCCTGTCCTAATGTGTTTTATACCTCACCTCCTATAGACTGTAAGCTCGTTTGAACAGGGTCCTCTTCAACCTATCCTTCCTGTAAATTTTCTTGTAATTGTTCTATTTATAGTTAAATCCCCCCTCTCATAATATTGTAATAATAATAATAATAATAATAATAATAATAAACCTGGACCATATGAAATACAACCAAGTAAAAATAAGTGCAATGTTATGAAGGCCAACTATGCAGAGTATATATTAAAAACCTGTCTTGTGGTAAATTATTTTGTATAATACTCTGTCCCTTTAAAAGAGAGACATATAAGAGATAGTCTGTTGAATTTCTAACTATAACTAAAACCTAATCCTTTCACTATTTCTGTGTTTCATTATGGGAGGATTTTAGAAGGTCTCTGGAGCTGGCTCATCTTATGGTGTTAAACCGTTCTCGAAGGTTAAACTCCAAGGTCTGTGCTCCAACACCGAATCTCCCTGCCTCTTTCTCAAAACCTAGAAATCTTGCAGAACTGAGCAACTTTGCCACTGATTGGCTGAGAGAGGTCAAAAAATTGGCTTGAAAAGATACATATCCTTTTCCAAGCCAGCTTTTTGAATGGGGATTTACTGATTGGCTGAGATCATCAGTTTAGTTTAACCGCTTAACGTAAACCAGTGCGAGGGATCTCCTGGCATAATAACAACTTAACTTCGATAAAGTTGTTATTTTTCCCAAACTGGTCCATTAAATTTGAAATTCACTTTGAATTCTCACTTTAGTGAATAATCTGTATGAAGGTAAACGAACATATTTATTTAGGACAAGAAATCATTATTGTAGGTACCATTAACACCCTTGGAATTCGGCTTGCCGATTTCATTTTGCCATAATGCTTTTAGTTTAATTTGCAGGGGAAGAAAATGATAGAAATTAATTTTTGGAAACTTATTAACAGTTTTAGAAGGCTCAACATACCTTGGTATATGAGACTCTACCAGTTTACTGGAGCTTTATTTCAGAGTGATTCTAAATAATGATTGGCCAACTCTATCGAGATAGATCATTCACTGCCTGGAGTTTACGCTGTGGTTTTTCAGAAAACAACATTTAATTTAGTTCCTCTTGTCATCAGGAAAGCATCTCTGAGTGTCCCACATGTCATTAGTATTCTCTAGCGAGAGTGCACTTTCTTTACATGTTGTAGAACCCAGCAAGATACCTAATGAGGTCCAGGATACTCAATACGGAGCAAGAAAGAAAGAGGTACAGTAAAATGTCTACATATATAAATATATGTATAGGGAACAATATAACTACTTTTTAATTTTTTTATTAGAACAGGAATTACACAATAAGCATTACCGTTTCAATGCTCGGTTTATTCAATGTATTCAGTTGGTGGTAGATCTGTCCATTAAACCTATTCTACATAAGAATGTTCCCCAAAAACCACTTAAAGAGAGGGACTAAGATTTTCAATGAAGCGTGTTCTAGTAACAGGGTTATTCGCTAAAGGAAGAATTGTTGTGAATTCAAAGTGAATTTCAAATGTCAGAAAATATTTTTCTAAATCGGCTATTTTGTTCTAAATGTTAAAATTCACTTTGAATTTCTAGCAATTCTCATTTTATTGGATAACCCTGGTGGTTTTATAGTAATAACATAGCGATGAGGCATTGTTATTGACCCTTCTTCGAGAGAGAGTTTTTTAAGCCATTCGCTGAATTATTAAATTGTTTGTGGGGAAGGGGGTGTCTTTTGTCTTCACTGAATCTTCACAAAATAGCCTTCTACAAAAAAAATCCTGAATTGACAGCAGTCATTATACCATTTAGAAATTACAAATAAGTGTGTTTTCCCCTAGACATTGCACAGTATAAAAAAAAAAATCAAACACCTTAAAAAAAAAAGTTTAGTTTCGAAAACGTCAACGGACGTACATGAAAACCACTTTCACCACAGAGCTGCCTGTTGACAAGAAAAGGGGAGCTTTTCATATTGTTATATTATCAACGCCGCAGAGGAAACTAACTCAAGGTAATTACGTTAACAATATTACAATTATAATGTTATATTTGCTCAAATTACTAGATTATAGTGCAACAATTGGTTTAATTAGAGTCATCTGCTACGGTTACTTCGCCAATAAAATATATTTTTTTAATCCTCACAGATGTGGCTGTGTAACAACATGTATTTATTTTATGACTGGAATTGGCGTTGTTTATACCATCTAAATGAATGTGTCCTTTGTAGGCTTTGCTGGAAATGGCAATAGAATGCTGATAAAGGTATATTAACTAAACAGTGGTTTGTGGGACATTAATAAAACTTTAGACCAACGTATTAGAAGTGGGGGAAAAAAACGACTAATCTGCAGTCATAAGATTGATGATAATACTGACTATTACCTGAGATTATTACCTTATAAGTTTTTAATAATTCTTGCTTGTTTTAAATCAGGGGTGCCCATAAGGTAGATCCCCAGATGTTGTAGAACTATAACTCCCATGACACTTTGCATGCCTTTAGAATGCTTTAGAATGACAAAGCATAATGGAAGCAGCAGTCCTATAACATCTGAGGGTTTTACCTTTTGGGCACCCCTATTTTAAATAATTGTGGTGGATATTCACAAAATCCTGGTAATATGGTAATATAGATTGCTTGGTGAATTGAATAATTTCTACCTTCCAAGTAGCGTCTTGATATTTTTTAGTATTTGAAAAAATTTTCAATTAACATTTTCACACATTTCCCATGTATTGTATAACACCGCCACCCTTCACAAAATGTGTATTTTTATGTCCTTTAAAGCAGTGTTTCCCAACCCAGTCCTCAAGGCACACCTACCAGTCCAGGATTTAGGGATTACCCAGTTGTGTCTAAGGTGTTTTTACAAAGAAGAAAAAAAACACCTTAGACACAACTGGGTAATCCCTAAATCCTGGACTGGTAGGTGTGCCTTGAGGACTGAGTTGGGAAACACTGCTTTAAAGTAATAATTTTAAGTGTTGGGGTGACATGCTTGGACGCAATTGGTTTCTGTTCCTGAATTCTAACACATGATAAGTGTTAAAAGGATTAAACTATTATTTACAGTAATTCAAGTAAAATGGAATATTAATCACAGTAAAAAGTCATTATTTATAGGTTTTATGAGATTTTAACGGGTTGGGCAAATAAATGTATATACTAATATACAGCTCTTATTTGAATTCCTACCTAGAAATACCAAGCATCTTCTAAAAAACAAACCCCAAAACACCTGTGGGGGGAAAAAATCCCATAAATCCCCTAGCAAATGTCACAGTGACTAACCCTACTTTTTAAATTCCTTAACTGTAGTAGAAAAGTCTGTTAAGGAATTTTATTTTAGTTCCTAAATGATCAAATGCATCCGGTAGGGAAATTCTAAAATGTACTAAACACTGAATATCAATTAGCCAATAGCAATGAGCTAAATTCAGCAAAAAAAAAAAAACAGTGATTGACAAATATGCTAGCATTTCTGAATTGGTAGTTAGCCAAATAGCCTAACATTAGTCTAATAGTCTTATTATTAGTCTAATAATTAAAGTAGTCACTGTTCTTGGTGTTACCCACATTCAGTACCAGACTTTTCTTACCATACGCAATCTCCATAGTTATCAGTACTTTACGCACATTGCGTTAAAGAGTTGAAAGCACATTGCCATCAGGAGCACAGCATAGCTATAAACAAAGCGAATATAATACATGCATTTAAAAAACATATTGTTGCCACACGACCACCATTTAGAAGTGATCTGCAAAACCAATTACTCTGGAATAAAAATATGCCGATTTTTTTTTTTCTTTAAATATATTTTTGTGGAATTCTAATATTACTTTTGTAGGATTTGTCACGGAAATGTAGAATACCCAACATGTAGAACCCTAATGTAATCTCAGAAAGCAAGAAAGACACAATAGTCTATATCACTGGTCTTTAGGATGTCTGGGCATACAGGAATCAATAGGGACACGGAATGGCGGTAACTGCAGGCAGCAGAATAGTCAAAAGACAAACCAAGGTCAATAAATTGAGATCATGAAATTAAGAGGACAACCCAAGTTCAAAGCAAGTCAAGTTCAAAGAGCAATCAAGGATACAAGCCAGGGTCAGATAAGAGAAAAATACAATGGCAGGGAGGTTTATATAGCATGACGAACAGCAATTGTCATTCTTACGTTCTCAGAAGTTGCCTCCGTATTGGAGCAGTTATGACACAGTTAAGATGCAGGTGGATTTATTATAAAACAAGAGGCAATGGGAGCGTCCAGCATTCAAGGATATATTTTACTTAAAGGATCACTATAGTCAGGAAAACAATACGGTTTCCCTGACACTATAGTGTCCGGAGGGTGCCCCCACCCTCAGGGTCCCCCTCCCATGGCGCTGAAGGGGTTAAAACCCCTTCAGCTACTTACCTTTATACACACGCCAGGCTCCCTCGGCGCTGGTGACCTCTACTCCCCGTCCGACGTCAGTTCCCTAGTAGAGCGGAATGTGCATGCGCGGCAAGTGCAAGTTTCTCAATGCTTTCCAATGGACGCTCTGAGCGATGGATGCGAAATTCGCATCCAGCGTCGCAGATGCGCCTCTAGTGGCTGTCTAGTGGCTGGATTAATCCCAAATGTAAACATAGCAGTTTCTATGAAACTGCTATGTTTGCATCTGAAGGGTTAAAACCTGAGGGACCTGGCACCCAGACCACTTCATTGAGCTGAAGTGGTCTGGGTGACTATAGTGTCCCTTTAACACAGTGTATTTTTTTTATTTAATTTTTTTATTTTGGACATTTTAAGGAGGACTCCACTGAATATAAAAGTTGAAAGGTTAGTAGGGGAAGAAATAGAAAACTCAATTTCTTACTGATATATGATACTTGGACTTCATTACAAAACATGTCTATCCCTTTATATATAATTCATTGCACTTGAATTGAAATCATGTTTGTATTGTTGTGTATTGTATTGTTGCTAAGATTTTTATTGTAAATCAATCTGGAAAAGAAAGGTGAATCACGATGCAAAGACCTTCATTACCAATACATGTATCCAGTATTAAGTTGTTGTTTTTTTCTCCCCAAGGTTAGAGTCATCACATTCATCTTCTCAATGTCTTGGAGATAGACATAATAGCTTCACAAAGCCAAACGTCTTTTGTCAAGAACACAGACTCTGTGCTTTGCCTATCACCATCTTTGCTCTTACAGACAGCTTACAATGACAGCAGAGTCAAACAGTTCTCACATGTCCTGCGATGTCTATAAAGACCTGGAACCTTTCACATACTTCTACTATTTGATCTTCTTGGTTGGATTCTTCGGCAGTTGCTTTGCACTTTGGGCATTCACAAGGAAAGACAACAACCAGAAATGTACTAGCATCTACCTCATTAACCTTCTAGTTGCTGACTTCTTATTGACTCTTGCTTTGCCGTTTAAGATAGCTGTTGATCTGGGAGTTGCTCCATGGAGATTGAAAATATTTCACTGCCAAGTCACAGCATGCATCATTTATATCAATATGTACATATCCATTATATTTCTGGGATTTGTCAGCATGGACCGTTATCTTCAAACAGTAGAAAGCGCAAAGTTGTATCAAATACAAAAAAGGGGATTTGCTAAGATGATCTCTACAGTCGTTTGGGCGTTGGTGCTATCTATAATGGTACCAAACATGTTAATACCCATCAATGACATACCGGAAAGAGAAATTGTTGGATGCATAGATTTTAAACAAAAAATCGGAAGAGACTGGCACGTACTTACAAACTTTATCAGCATTGCCATTTTTTTCAACTGCTCGTGTATAATTCTAATTTCTAATTGTCTTATGATAAAAAGCCTGTACAAGAACAAGGATTGCGAAGAGTTTGAGAACTTTAAAGAAGCCTTGGTAAAAATACTTCTTGTGACAGCGGGGTATATTGTGTGTTTCCTACCCTATCATATCGTCAGGATCCCTTACACATTGAGCCAGAATGATGTTATAACAGACTGCAATTTAAAGCAGACACTCTTCCATGCCAAAGAGACCACGTTGCTGCTTTCTGTCTCAAATTTGTGCTTTGATCCAATACTTTATTATTTTTTCTCAAAAACATTTAGATCCAAGATCGCTAAAACATTTTCCATAAAAAAAGAGGTCAGATCAGTCAACTCTGGAATAGCTGTTTGCGAAACAGCCTTATAAAATGGATTCACTATGAATCATTGCTGTTGAGGTTTTCTGTTCATTTTTGGTTCCATCATTTATTCCTGACACAGTAGCGTCTTCAAATAAAACATCCAGGATATGCTGAAACATCCTCAAATAGATGTAGCTGTAGAAGCAATATGACTGACTCTTCGTTTTTTTTATTTCACATAAAAGAAAAAATGTCCGGTGAGATGTTTAATTAGGTAGTTTGGACAAGGAGTAAGGATATTTTGAATGTAGGACTTACCGCTGAAGTTTGTTTGTGCTATGTTGTACTACCACCTCATGCTACATTTGGTTAATTATTCTGGTTTTCCAAAATAAATAATGACTAACACGGGACACATCAGTTCTGTACAATACTTCAGGAAAGTGGATGCCTGGTTATCTTCACAAGATCCTTGTGTATAACAAAATTGGAAGTTGTGATTTCAATTTAGTAAAGAATAAAAAAATATATAATATTAATGCCAAATGTTGAACATTTGTGGACCAAAAATATGTGCACGTGATGGTGGGTATTTTGGCAATGGGCAATTTTATTTGTACTCTTAAGAGTTTACAAGTTTCAGAAAGTGTCTCTACCCAAACAGTTGTGTTAAGGTTCTTTTGATCTTTATCATAAGTTAATTAACTATGCTCATGTTTACATTGATGTACTAATGAATCATGTGCTAATTAAACTAGAAATATTTCCACACTGTGCCTTTGCAAATTGGTTTTTAATTACTTAAAAGTTACTATAACCCTTTTTCACAATGAGGATTTTTAAATTTAGAATTCCCTACTGGGCATTAACTGTTAACTATGTCTACACCCTTTTTTTATCATAAAACTCTTTAAATAAGATAAAACATCATGTTTGTTGTCATACCGCGTCACTACAAGGTCCAATCACATGCTTCTTATAGAAAAGCATTTAATTGGGCCATTCTCCTAGGCTCAGAGCACATGTGTGTGCTCAAAGCCAGGGAGGGGAAGGAGTGGGGCTGTGGACAACGGGCAGGTTTTCAATATATATATATATTTATTTTTTAAAAAGGAAATGCAGGGAGAAAGGGTGGAAAAGGTAAACTTGAGCTTTACCTTGCACATACACTTCCAGCACTGCCTGCAAGGGTAGGAAGCTGACCATATCTGCCTCCAGCACGCTGTCAACACTGTAGCAATTTCTGCACAAAATTAAAATTAGCCAACCTAGTACAGAGTTCCAGGCTACCTAAGTCACGTGTGCCAGAGGTGCCACAAGCCCCCTGCACAAAAGTGCAGATATCTCTGCATGTATAGTGTTATAAGCTGAAATACTGCACATACAGTTTCCTTCCACCATGGCCACTTTCAAAAGCAGAAGTGGTCATGCACGTTGGAATAACCCTTTAGGTGTAAAAAAGTTAAGAAAATATGAAACGTATGTGTCAGATGTCCCTTATAACAGGGTATGTTCGTTTGTAGCATATTGGTGTCAACATAATAAATGCCAGACAAGAAATATTCAGGTTATCTAGATTGAAACATTTTTTGGAATAAGTAAATGTATAATTTATATCTGTGTTTGTGTAATATGCCATTTTCTTAAAAATATATAATTCTTCTTAAAATATACCAAGTTATAGGTTGCACAATATTTTTTAACATGTGCATCTGCAAAATGGTGCAAAAGAAGAAAAGGTTTATTTACATTTAGGTTTTAAAATCATCCATTGAAATTCAGAACCATAATTAAGTTTAAAATATGCCAAGTTGTCTGGATATTTACATGTGAAAGAAACAATGTCATAATTATTATTATTTTTTTAAATAAAGGATTACATGTTGTATGCATACATATAGGTAACCACCTCTTTTAATTGCTTCTTCTGGTTATCATAAGTCCTCTTTATTCATCCAAAGACCAGACAGTTAACTGAAAACTAGTGCAATTCACAAATCCTGATGTGACACACAAAGGCCAGGCATGTAAGTATTTATAGGAACACTCCAACACCACTGTGACAAAATCCACTATTTTGTCTGCATAGGAGATGTCCTCCTCATAAAGTCACTAACAGGTTCCTGAACTTCATTTATGCTTTTCCCTGCATTCGGTAGATAAATCTACTGAACACTGACCGACCCCTGGCTCATTAACTACAAAAAAACCACAGGATTAAGTGCTCTCTCTGGATGGCCACCCGTTCATATAACCGAATGCCACATGCTGGGGAAAAAGGTGGCCATCTTGTCACACGAACGCAGGGAGCAGGACTTAGTCGTCGAGTGTCTGGCACTCGACTGCACAAACATCGGTGAAACCATGCGAATGCCTGCTTCTTTCTGCGACAAGCCAGGAGAGCGCTATTCAGTAGGGTTGTTCATATGAACAAGACAAACAAACGCTACCGGTGAGCCAGGGGAACCGTTCAACAGTTTATTCGTATAGAACTCCCAAAATAGACCGACTGCTACCACTAAAACTCTAGAACTGTTTTGGGCAGACGCCTCATGAGCGGTCGGTCAAACCTTTACCCCAGTGGCGATTCGACTGTATTCGTGGGATCTGAGGGCTATTTGGACAACTTGGGCGCTCAGATCCAGGGTATCCAGGGATACAATATTTGTGGGGGTTCCTATATGTTTATTATGTATTTTTATGTGTTTTAATATTTTATGTAATTTATGCCAAGTCATGCTGACACTGTAATTTGTAACCATTTTGTGGGAGTGTTCTGGGCGTGTTTTCCAGCCTCCTGATTTTGTATATAAGTGGGCCATTTGACCATGATTAAACACATTAGTTTCTATCCTTCATCAAGTCTAGGCTAATGTTTGGGGAACTTGGGCTATAATCACTATTGCGCTTGGGACGCTAGAGATTTATAACGGATATACTCAGGAAGAGTATGGGGGATCCGCTACATCCATAACCAGTACCCTGGCAGTGTCCTGGCACCATACCACATCAACCATTCTAGCTCCGTTTGCCAACTTACCTGGATCCCACCATGCACCGTATAGCATCCAGTCTTCTCCAGCAGAAGTAGAACAAAGCTCAACTGAATGTTACACTGACGCTCTCAGCCAGTGAGCATATTCCAGCATGGTTCAGCTTTGTTCTATAGAGAAATTTGCCTTCTCCTTCTGGATATGTCTGGAAGTGGTGCAGGTGTGTGGTGGGACATAGGTAAGTTGTAAAACCATACGAAAATGATTTACTATCTTACTGTGGCATGCTGTAAGTTATGTTATGGTGTTTAAAATACTGAAATGCTGTGCGGTGACACGCTGTTATCATTTTATGTTGTATTAGAGCATCAAATTAACCCACCCATTGCAGGTTCTATCAGCTTATTTGCTAATAGTAAAATATCAGTGAATAATTGAATTTGAAATGTAAAATTGCTTTCAGTTAGAGTGAGAAGAGAACTATTTTGATAAACATACTATTAAACATTCCATACGAGGCCAAAATAAAATGTAAAACATCAAATTAGATGTTATATATAAAAAGCCGGATATATATATGGAAAAATGCCTGCAATATATAAACATAGTTGAAATAAAGACACCACTATGTGTTTAGTTTTCCATAATATTTGAGCTGCCGTTTTAGTTCAGTAATGTAGATGAAAAATTAAATATTGCAATAAAAAAGGTATTAAAATACTCCAATTATTTTGCATCTACATTTTTTTCATCATGCAAATTATGATCACAAAAGGAATACTCCAATTAAAAGAATACATGAAGTATTCCTGTTATGTTGAGATTACCAATCTTTTTTCCCTGTTACATCATTGAAAGGGTTAAAATCACTGCTTAAGGAAAATTAAAGTGTTAGGAATACAAAGCACGTGTTCCTAACATTATAGTGCCCTCTGGTCTCCTCCTCCCTCTCCTGGTCTCTTCTCTGCAGCTCTGATCCGCCTCCTGTGAAGTCATTAATTCTGATGTCTTGTGTCCATTGAGAACACTTCTCATAGAGAAAAACTGGGACACACATCGTATGTATGGCAATCACAACGATCCACCTTCTCATAGAGCAGCATTCTGCTTTTAACCACAGTTCAAACAGAGTGATGTAAGAAAGCCCTCTCGGCTCTCTCCTTGATTATCTAGATATCAGCACTTTTATGAAATAAGACATAGAGGCTATTGAATTAACCTCTAAAGCACATGAGCAAGTTAAAGTGATTTAGGGGCCTGTCACATGCCTGTAAAGTGACACTTCACTGACCAAATGCAAAATAAATAAAAACTATTGTTTTGTAGATATATTCACATATTAAAACTTGCATGCAAAGTCTTTGCAAGGCCGATTTTCTGGGCAATTGCTACCTCTTGAGTTTAGCTCCACTGAGCTAACCGAACCAGGAAGTAACAGGATTGTTTGTCTGCTTGAGAGCCAAAGGTGTGTAACAAGGTTAATTTATAAAAGTGCTAATTTTTACTGAAATCTGCCCTTTTTGCAAAGTGAAAAAAGTGGACACACTCTGCAAACAAAGTTTTTTCAGCAAGATAAAGTGCTTTAAGGGTCTGGAGTGTCCATTTAAACATCTATTAGTAATTAGTAATTATCAATGAAATATACTAATGAAATATGCTTTGCACAAACATTACTCCGTACCACATGATGTAATCACTAGATAAGCACACATATCAAACCTTAGTATATACCCATTTCAGTCAGAGAAAGAGGATACCTCACATGGACTGTCAGAAGTAGAGAAACTTTAATTGAATGGTTTGTACCATGACATACTTTCAAATGAGAATGTCTAATTTAATAGGAATAGATATGGAAGTTATAGAATATAAATAACCTGGCACACGCAGTGTTTACTGAAATTCCTAAAACCAAAGCCTAGAATGCTGTGACATTTCTAAATAATGGCAAAACAGCAAAAAAATTATGTTCTCTTTCATTTACTTCAAAGTCCAAATCCTACAGAATCATAGAATGGCATATCTTCCTACACATATACCAGTCTCCTTGCTATCTTATTTCTATGGCTTGTTATAATGCACAAGGTGTATAACCCAAAAGCACATTAAAATGCATTTGTTTAAGTTCTCTTTCATGACATACCTGCACTGAAACTGCTATAGCAGCTGAGTAAATCAGCATGACACAATAAGAACGTTGCATTACATATCCACGTTTGTTAGGGTTGACTCTCCACTATACTCCATTCCTTCACCCAGTTGCTTTAGCGTGCTTGTTTTTTAAAATTTAGGTTATCTCCAGGAACTTCATCCTCTCCCTTTACAATCATCTAAATGCTTTCCCGACAGTAACAAATGTTTGTTTGTTTTTTAATTCCTTTAAACGGCCTACATTGCCCCTATCACCTCCCGGATGGTATTGTCATGTTTCAAATTTCATAGGAAGACGTTCTGACATTTTTCTCTCCTCATGCCCTCATCATCTTTCACTATCATATGTCTTCATTTCTTCAACCCAATATATTTGTCCTTCACTGTCGTTCATACCAAGCCTCTTTCTCAACATTTTTAATAAAGAGTATACATATGCAACCTTTAAAATCTAGATCACTAATAGCATACATTTCAGCTTCAAATTCTACTGATACTGTCAAGTAATTGCCACTGCCGATAATCTGACAGTTGACAGAACAATAGAGTTCTAGTTTAAAAGATGAGCTTTCTTTATTTTAATTGTGTTTTCACTATTTCTTTGAGAGATTGGAGACATGAAAGATTACCCACTCTTTTGGAAAGTTCTAGTGGCTTTTAGTATTATCATGAATGGCCATTCAATTGAAAAGTAACCTGTCATTTAAAGAAGACAACCTGTTCATTAAGTAGTAGGTTCCAATGATCTTTTGAATATGGAGAACAGATTGGAACTAATTTTGAACCTCCATCCTCATGTACAAATACCTTTATCTGGAGAATAATGATTAAATGGTTCATTCCCCTCTACACATAAAATAGTTCCATGTCCTTTTCTTTAGAAAATGGTCTTATTCGGTATCTAGTGGAGTCACTTGACAGAGAGATGACCCTAGTTCCTTCTCAGGTTTGAGCTCCCTCACCAGTGGTACTCACCTAAT